GCTCTTTGCTGGCTGGAGAGCTTGGACATCCAACGAAGAAATATAGCATTGAACACGGCATTCAGAAGAAGATTAAAGTAGTCACCACAATGTGACTTGGATTCCTGATCTGTGTGACTTGAACCCAGTTTTCCCACCACTTAGGTAAATGTCCCTAGCACTGGCCTATGGCTGTCTCCGTGTCTGTTGCTGAAGCTATTCCACTTCGTAGGAAAGACTTAAATATTAAGTGGAGCAGAGACTGAAATGTGGGATTACTAGGCTGTAGAATCATTCTGTGACTCTGGTCCAATGACAGTACCACAGTTTCAACAGCAGAAATTATAAAAGCTCACCCCAGACTACCCCATTACCCAGTGGTTAGGGCACTCGAATGGGAGAAATGAGTTCAAGTTTTCATTGTGAATCAGACAGAGTCAGGATTTGAATCCAGGTTTGCCATGTGCTGAATGAGTGCTCTTAACTATGGGGTGTTCAGGGAGATGGGCACCCTCATTGTCACTTTGCACAGGTTCGGTTAGAGTAGGCACACTATATGATGGTCTCTGAGCATGCCTATGGGATTGGACCCTCAGCTGAGATAAGCAACAGGATGCATTGTCAGGGCCATACAGAGCCTTTGGGGGCCTGAGGCAAAATCTGAAACTAAGACCTTCCCACCCTTTCAAAATAAATAACCACTATGAGTGGTGGTTGTATAGGGTGTGGAGACCAAACAGTCACCCCACAGTGACAACTTGGCTCCTGTCCCACTAGCTTGACAGGTTCCCATCTATGGGCATTACAACCTGGCACATGGGGTCACAGCACCACTCAAATTTGGAAGGCTGCTATTGTAAGGACTTTACTGATGGAAACTTAGGCACTTACAGAATTAGGACGCAACTGAGCAATGGTTTTGTGAATGTCAGTGGTGTCCATATATCAGACTTAGCTGCCTAACTTATGCTTTTGGTGCCTAACCCCTCCTTGTGCATCTAGCTACTATGCGTGTTTAAGAGCAATGAAGTGAGACTCTTCACTATTTCTGTATGGCTTTCTCTTTTCACTTTTGCAACTTCCATGCCTATGGAAATGCAATTGTGTGTGGTACTACTGCCTGATGTATTTCTAAGGAGGTGCAAGTGTAGGAAAGACATTGTATTTAACTTCTTTATTTTAAAGTGACCATTTTTCGTTCCTTCAATTTGTTGTAAGTGGAGGGCAAAAGAAGAGAAAAGTTGTAAGTTTTAGAACTTTGTTTTGCACAGGAGGTGACTGACTAAAACCTATGAAACAAACTATCAAGAGCTCATTATGCAAGAAGTAGGATTCATGAAAAAATATCACAGGGAATTTGAAAAAAATAGAGATATAAGGCACAAACGTAGCTTTTCCATGCTCCTAAATTTTTGTCTTTTTAAGCTCTAAAGCTTGTGGAGGAAGGAACGTGCTTATCGGCGTCTCTTGGTGTAATATTCAACTGGGTTGGTTTTGTTCTTCTTATTTAACACAGTTGCATAAACGGCAGCAGCTGATGCTAAAGGCATTTGCAAAGCACAACAAGATGATGAAAGAGTGCGAGAATGGAAAAGGTATTTTCTTTCTAACCACTAATTTACTCTGTGCCTGAAAAAAGAATTTTACTTTGTGCTAATATGATTTCATTGGCTCCTTAGTAGATCAGTTTGAGAAATCCAGAACCATGCAGGGGAACAGAAATATTATGAATTTCTGTTGGGGGGCCCTTTCCTTCTTCCACCCCTTCTAGCTTATATGTTGCTTCTTTCTTCCCTGCAGGGAGAGATGTGCAAGAGGGGGTGAGAGTGGGAGCAAGGGTTCTGTCCATGGATGTTTAAGTAACTCCAGTCCTTTGGGGCTAGAGTCACAAAGGGACTTTAGCACCTACCTGTAATGTAGAAGCATAACTCCCAAGATTTAGATCCTCAAAACCCAGCACAGCTGCTGCCTATCCCTGTAGGTGCCTAAGTTCTGTGGTAAACTCCTTTGGGTGTCTAAAAATTCACTGCTGGGTATGCACACAGCTACCTAAATCCTGATGCCATCAGACTGCTTAGTACCTAACTTCCACTGGGAGCCTCAAACTAGCTGTGCCCCCAATCTAGCTCACCTGGATGGCCTGATCTGGTTGGCATGCTCAGAGGCCACTTTAGACCATGCCTATCAGCTTAAGTCCTTTACAAAATTTAGAAGAGAAAGAGCTGGTGGTTCTGGGCACCTGACTTACTTTAAGACAAAGGGCTTGGCCAGAACCACCTCTCCTCAGCATTTCCTATCAGCTATCTTAAGTGGCTACATGCTCAGTAGCAATAACTTCATTTCCTCAGGAAGGCATCAGGCCTGAAAAGCCTTCTGATCTTGTAGCAGGAGGCCAGAGCAGATTTCTAGGGGGAGTGCAGCTCGGTAGTTTCTGCCTAGTCTGAAATATCTTCCTTTCTAGACAGCCTGTCAGTACCCAAGTTTGAGACCTTGCTGGTCTTTTCTTTCTAGTCTGTACCTGTGGTGAATTCAAATGGAGTGTTGTCACCTTCAAACCTTGCTTGCTAAATGGATGAGGGAAGTGTCAAAACAGATCATGTGAAGAAAAGCTTGTTTGTGCCCTTGATCATTTGGTCTCTTTCTAGGAAGGTTCTGATTGCATCCTGCTATGAAAGGGAAAATGTTTCACGCTGGACCTGGAAGGGGTAGTAATGAGGTAGTCTCTTTGTATTTTATCTCCATTGAAGATTGAATACAAAGGCCTCTTTGGACATCACATTAAAGACATGGCTTCTGGGTGCTTCAGGCTGGATCTCTCTTTATTTTTAGGGCTCTCCTATGTTCTGTTTTGGGTCCATCCTTTGCAATTCCCACATTCTCTCAGTGATGAAGTTTCTTGTTTGTTTGACAGGGTTTGACCGTCATCTTCTAGGTCTCCTGCTCATAGCAAAAGAGAAAGGACTCCCTGTGCCAGAACTCTTTACAGACCCTGCATTCACTAGAAGGTAATCATTAGTCTTGTTAAATACACAAGTCAAACCCCTGAAAGTTGATGGGTTCATCACAGTGGCCTTCAGCTTGCCTAGCTCTTGATCTGTGAAATCAGTGAAATCATTTTGCATTTCTTAGTTCCACTTTTTAATACTAATTAAAATCCAACAATTTGCTTTTATTTTTTTTACTTCACAGCGGGGGAGGTGGAAATTTTGTGCTCTCAACTAGCCTGACTGGCTATACTAAAGTCAGTGGAGCTATGGTCCCCATGATACATCACGGCTATGGCTTTTTCTATAGAATCAGAGATGACAGGTAAGGTTCTATATTGACCTTCTTGGGTTTGGCATTACTCAGAAGAAGACTGTAAAGCTGAACGTCTTCCCAATTTTTATGTTGACCGATTATATCAGTGTTACAAAAGTAAAAGCAGTTCAAAGTTAATAAGAGGGGGAGAGAGAATATTCAGAACCTTACAGCTAATTGCAGTAAAGAAAGATTCATTTGAAAGTGTTGTCCAGTAAATGAGTAAAGTGTGGTACCAAATCCATCTAGGCACCTAAATTTACAGCAGCCTGATTTTCAGAATTGCTAAGCATATACATTATATCAGTGTTACAAAAGTAAAAGCAGTTCAAAGTTAATAAGAGGGGGAGAGAGAATATTCAGAACCTTACAGCTAATTGCAGTAAAGAAAGATTCATTTGAAAGTGTTGTCCAGTAAATGAGTAAAGTGTGGTACCAAATCCATCTAGGCACCTAAATTTACAGCAGCCTGATTTTCAGAATTGCTAAGCATATACAT